CTAACTTAAGTTAAAATGGGAAATGGCATAAAAATCCAGGAACTGGTGTTTTCATGGGACCCATGGATAGAGATATGGCTACATCTCAAGCAGGATTGAAACCAAAGAGTGGAGGCCACCAGGATCTCCCTCTCTCTCTCTCTCTCTCTCTTTCTCTCTCTCTCTCTCTCTCTGACATTCAATTCCATTTCTCTCAAAGCCTCTTTCTTTCTCACGGCTGTGCTTCTCTCTCTAGACTGCAGGACAGAAGGTGGCCACCCATGAGCCTTGAATCTGTATGTTTTGCATCTATCCTAGTTTATATTCCTGGCAGAATCTTGCTGGCCCAGTGCTACTATGACAGATCATCACAGACCAAGTAATTTGGAAAGACCAGAAATTTATTGGCTCACAGGTCTGGGAGCTGGGAAATCCAAGATTAAGATGTCAGCAACTGATTCTTTTGTAGTTCATAAGCATGATGATTGGGTGTTCACACGGATGTGTGAGATGTGCCTCTCTCAAACCTTGTTACGACGTCGGCACGTTACCCATCTGACATGAAAAATAAATAAATAACTAAGATGTCGGCAACTGGTGAGGACCTTCTTGCTGCATCATCCCGTGACAGAAGGCATCACATGGCAGAAGGGCAAAGCCCTCATGACCTAAACACCTCTTAGAGATCCCACCTCGTAATACCGTGACAATAGCAACTAAATTTCTACATGAGTTTTGGAGGGAACAAACATTCGAACCACAGCACCCAGCTTAGATCAAGTGTCTTTCTGGTCTGTTCAATGGCCACTGGGAGAAAGGGATCAGACTGGACCACATAGCTGCCTAAAGGGCAGGGCCAAAGTTGGCCCTCCATGAAGGGAGAAACGGCAGAATGTCCAGCAGGTGCCTACCACATCACAGCCAGACTGACCCTAACCCCAGTCACAGCCCTAACTCTGACCACGTACTAAACCTCAGATAAAACTTTGCTCCTGGCCCAGGAATCCACTTACACTGATCTTGTGAAGCATACATGGCTAATAAATTGAAGAGGCCTCCGCATTTTCATTGTTTCACTTACTTTTGGGAAAAAAAATGTATTTTTTACATAGTAAATTTTGTTCAAAATTATTTTTATTTGCTGTATAATACCTGGTGAAAACTAAAAAGATCAAAGAAAAAAATCTAGTTATTAATATTTTCAAGCATTCTTAAAAACCTGGATATTTCCAGACATCTCTAAGTAAAATGCTGCATGAACAACATTCCCGAATTTGGAGGTAAATATTTCTGCTTTGATCCCTGGGGGAGAGATCATGCTGACCATGTCAGCCTCTGGCACAATGTCTGATGTATTCTCATCATTCACTCCAGGCACAGGAAAAATCAGAGGCCAGAGTCACAATCAAGACCTTACTTGGCCCCAGCCTCCCTTGGTCAAGGAATTTTTGGTACTCTCCATATTCTCTCTTCAACGTGGGTCTTTCTGAAGATCAGATTTATTTTCTTTGACTTCCATCAAGTTCAGGGTAAATTATATGCCTTCCTGGGGCTTCTGCCATCTCTAAATCCTTTTTTTCTTTTTTTTTTTTGGAAGTATCACGGGATGTGGGATGTCCAGTGCCAGCCAAAAGGGAATAAGCCAACTGTAGTCAACTTTTCCCACCGATTGTAACTAACATTGTGGACAAAATGCAAAAAAAAAAACCTAAGGAAGCTGAAAGTAAATAATAGCAAGGAGATTGAGGACCAAAGTCAAAACTTTAATAATAACCCATAGCCTGGGTGAGTTTTGTGGGGTATTTTTATCTTCTTTAAATCCAGCAAGATTTAACCTAAGGGCCAGTCAAACCTTGGAATTGTGTAAGTCGGCACTGTCAGAAAAACTCCAGGAGAAATCACCTCTTGCTTCCCAGAAGACCAGGAAAAGTAACCTCTGCATGACAGAAAGTATAAGAGAAATCCCTGATTTTTTTTTTTGTAAAACAAAATGCACAGCTGGGAAATGATTTATTTTTTTCTATTTCATATAACATTGTTCAAGACCACAAGACTTTAAAGGTCTCTTTCCCGCAACTTTTCCGATTTATGAGTACCACTTAAAAATACTTACCGATGCTATAAATATTACTGTTTTTGTATGTATTAACGATTTTAATGAATGCCATATCCACTATACCTTTTGCTCCTCTGATCAGAAATGTAAACAGAAACTTTAAATCAGATGTTTTGACATTCAAAAATGTTTTTTGAAAGTATACCCAAGCAAATGGAATCTACATCAGCAATTATTAAAATTAGTTTTGTTGGATTTGGCAACCTCATTCTGTGTCCTCAGTTCTTCGTGTGCTCATGGCTAAAGAATGACCAGACACACCAATTCAAAGACAGATATCTTCAGACTGGTTAAAAATATATGCAGTCTGAAGAGCCGGGAGCGGTGGCTCACGCCTGTAATGCTAGCTCTCTGGGAGGCCAAGGCGGGCGGATTGTTTGAGCTCAGGAGTTCGAAACCAGCCTGAGCAAGAGCGAGACCCCGTCTCTACTAAAAATAGAAAGAAATTAATCGGACAACTAAAAGTATACATAGCCGGGCATGGTGGCGCATGCCTGTAGTCCCAGCTACTCGGGAGGCTGAGGCAGAAGGATCGCTTGAGCCCAGGAGTTTGAGGTTGCTGTGAGCTAGGCTAACGCCACGGCACTAACCCGGGCAACAGAGTGAGACTCTGTCTCAACAAAAAAAAAAAAAAAAAGGAATTTGCTGTGGACAGGTGTTGTTTTGTATCCATCATTCATTCTCCCACTACTTCTGGTAACAGTGTTCAGATTCTGCTTTAGAAAAAACACCTCTAAATATTGTTAGCTTGAGCCATACTTAAGTCAATAAGTATATTCCATCCTCCTGACTTCAGTGATTGGTCAGAGATGGGAACAACTCAGTGAGAGCCAATGAGATGCTGGGTCTTCTGGGAAAGAGAGCTTCCTCTCTCCTCTTTGGGGACCACCAGAAAAGACAGTGTCTTTTTAGATGGATGGTGTGGTGTGAGGGTACGGGAGCTGGGTAGGCTGCAGTCTTTTTGATATCATGAGGGAAAGGCTGGAAATACACTGTTTGAGCCTGAGGGTGAAACCTACATTGTGGAAATCAAAGTGGAAGAACACACAGAAAAGGGACTTGATTGCTTTGAGCCTTTGGTTCAAGCCTTACCTAAATACAGAACAGACAAAACAGCTCTGATATTTTCTATTATGAAAAAGAATAAATTTTTCCCTTTTCCTTTCTTTCTTTTCTTTTTTTTTTCCCTCAGATTAGTTTGAGTTGGGTTTCTATCATTCACAACATAGAATCCTGACTAACACAGGGTTAACTCTCACCTCTTCATTCCCCTCCAAACATCGTATTTTTCTCAAAAATGAAAACAAAAGTCATGTGAAGCAAGCGATTTGCATTTAATGCTGGACAGTATCTTTACTTGTAGAAAATAATGATATGCAAGCATTTGAAAGATAAAGCTTTATATGTAGAAATAATAATCACTTAATGAATAGCAATCACAAAGAAATCATTCAGCATTTAAAGTTGTAAGCAAAATAATTCTTCTATATTTATACAGAATGCTGTTAACTCTGCTTTTGCTAAAACCTTTGAAGAGCATCACTTGAGTGATTGCCTCCAGAGAGAATGTTTATCACCACCATCCACTACCTATAATTCTTAAAGAACAAGAATAAATTGGGGACACCCAGTCTTGCCTGACCCTGTTAGTACTCAAGGAAAGAATGGATTCCAAATTCCTTCATGGGTTTTGCATTTCAGGCTCAAGCTACTTCCTTGAGTGAAAATTCCTTAAGTGTTCTGAAAAGCACAATCATCCCTAACCTCAGGGGGAAAGATTCACACAATGTAGTTGAACAAGGATTGGGTGCTTAAAACCAGGTAGTTCCTAAAATCAAAGTGTTTCTGTGGATAAGGATTGGTTATGTGGAGAGACTGAAATGGAGTTAATTCTGAGTAGAAAAGGAATTCAAGAGATTGGTCTTCAAGAGGCATTTATCAAGGATCTGAAAGAAATTCAGACGTGAAGAAAGCACAGTCCTTACAGGGCATTTGCGCCTACCCAGGTGGGAGGATGTCTCTCATACCCAGGATTCTCAGCCGTGGTAAAATGTGAGACATCGCATCAGAAAAGCTCCTGGCCAGGTGGCCTTGAGAAACAGGGAGGAGTTCAGTGTGGGGGTGGAGGTGGCTTTCCCCGGGGGAGGGAAGAGCATGAGAAGAGTCACAGAGAAGAGGAAGTACAGAGCAGTGCCGGGACCAGTGAGTAGTGCAGCTGGGGTGGGACGCAATCATAGGACCACCTTCTCTGAGAAAGCTCTATTGTGTGGAAGGGAGTCTTAGCTTGTGATGAAGGTAAGTTCAGAGGCCCCCAAGTGAGGTGGGTAACAGACCCCTATCAACAGTACAAAAAGGCCGTGTATTTCTGAATGGGTATAGTCTAGTGAAAAATGTCCGTAGCTCTCGATTTGATTTCTAGCTCTGCCACTTAATACCTGTGTGACTTTAGACATTCATTTAACTCTCTCAGCCACAGGACCTTAACTGTAAAAAGAGGAGAATTATATCCTTCCTATGTACCTCACAGGATTGGCATAAACATCAGGAGAGACAGTAGGCACAAAATAGCATTAACAACTACTTCTTCGTAGTTGGTTATCTTGTCATGTATGTGAAGCTCCCTAGTAAATGTTATTATTACACTTTTATTGCCACTGCATAAGAAATCCTTGAGGCTAAGGAACATGTCTTCTTCACGACTGGAAACATAGTATATGAGTTTTTTAATAAAATGTTACTTGATGAATGAATGAATAAATGAATGAGTAAATGAATGAATAATGTTCAGAGCCCTCCAACTAAATAATAATCAATCTCCTATAATAACTACAGTGAAAGCGTGTTGACTGTTCTTTGAGTGACTTGGGGGCAGTTTGGCCTGGTGGAGGCTCTGAGTTGGCAGTGATCAGTTGGTGTCATGGTAGAGAAGGAAGCCTGTGAAAGTGGAGTCATTGACATTGTCTGCATAGAGTCCACTGTGGTCTCCTTCCCCATACACCTGGAGCCAGACTTGGTCGCCCACCTCCAGATGCAAAAGCACAGAGCCAGAGGCTTGGTCCACGTTCTTGTCCTGGTACTGGTCATAGGTGAAGAGCACAGCCTTGTCCTTCTTGAAGAGGCTAACCTTCACATCCTTCATATAGACTGTGATGTGGTAGGAGAAGTAGTACAACCCAGGAATGTTGCAGTGGAATTTACCCGTGGTGCCATCATAGTGGTTTTGCTGATTGTAGAAGATCTTGGTAAAGCGAATGGGAACATTGGGGACGGTGACGCGATTCTCCAATCCCACACTGAATGCTGAGCGGTATACATAGGCACCTTCTCCAGGTTCTCCTTTCCTGCCTGGGTTTCCCGGAAAGCCTCGGGGACCTTCAGCCCCAGTCACTCCAATCTCACCAGTATCACCCTTAGGACCAACAAGACCTAGAAAACGAGAGGACCTCAGTGACCACAGGGAACAGAACTCCTGCCTAGGTTGGTTCCAGCCTAAAGTACTGTCCCTGTGGCTCCTACCTACAGTCTACTTGACTTACACAGCAAGAAACCAACAAGAGCTCCCAAAAGGGGAGAAATGTCCATTTCTTATTCCAAATCCCCCACAGCCTAGCAGGCTCACATAAATTCATCTCCAACTGTACCTCCTGTAAGTCTCCAACACATACCCTCCACTCTGCAGCCTTTTATACACTGGCTCAATTAACCACATTGTGCTCTTCTATCCTCTCTCTCTAGGATGCCCTTCCTCTTCTATTCTACCTACCATCCTTCAAGGCCTAGCTCAAGCCCTGCCTGCCCCCCTTGAAGCCTTCATGTTTAATCCAGGTCTGCATCGAGTGCATTTCTCCGTGTTTTATACTTTGCGTATTTGTTCACATTCAGTTTGGTATGTTTAGAATAGACTTTCTTGCAGTAACCACTAACAGAGTCTTGTGCATTAGACTTATCTTCTTAACTAGAACAAGAATTCTGCAAAAGCAGGACTGTGACCTTCAAGGGGTATGCAGTAAGTGTGGTTGGGTGCCACTGGATGGAATGGGAATTAAGTGAACTAGAAGGGAAACAGGAGTATGAACATATTGGGAATAGGAATGAAGGTGGGGATGGGAAGGGGGATGGGGAAGGAGATGCAAATGGGACAGAGTCAAAGGGTACTTGGTTATAGAGGTACCACCTATCCTCATCCCTGGGAAACCAGCCCAAATCCGTTTCTGATTCCTTATGGGTCACATAAAAAGTTTTGCTTCTTCCCTGTGTCTAGGGCTTAGTTAGTAACTAACGCCCTCATATCGCCCTGGAAGCCCTCCTTTATCCAAGAGAGGTCTGTGATGAAGGAGGCCAAAAACCTTGTTCTTACCTGGATCTCCTTTCTCACCCTTTTCACCAGAGGCACCATCTCTGCCATCACGGCCTGGGGTCCCATTGTGGCCAGGATGCCCTGGGATGCCCGCCATCCAACCTGTGCAGGCACCCTTGGGTGGGGGAAGCAGGACTTCTGTCCCTTCAGCTGTGGTGTCCTGGCCATGGCTGGGCAGGACTAATAGAAGCAGAAGAGTTTGCAGCAACAGCATCCTGGGCCCTGGAATCCACATGTGCATGGTCACCCATGGGAGAGACAGACCCTACACGGCACACCCAGTCAGGACGTAGACGGGACTCCATCCATCTCAGCAGAGGCCACTTCTAAGAACTGCTCTCTCAATGCTTGCTCCTTCCAGGAAGAGTTTTCTGTGGTCTACCTTGATCTCTTTCTGCCCTGAAATTTGCAACTGTTCCCTGTGTATATTCTCCTTTCCTTAGCAAGATTGTGAGTTCAGTGATGGCAGGGATAACACTCTCTAATTTCCCCACATCTCAGCACAGGACTAAGCACAGGGAAAGCTCCAAGAGTCAACTTGCCAAGAATCCATCCTTGAGTTTTCCAGGATGACTTGGATAGCTCCACTCAACTGTAACCAACGTCTCTCTCCCTAGTTCGGTTCCTCTTTTTCTTCCCCTCCTCTTCTCTCAGATTATTTCTGTTCTCCTTTTTATTCTCCTACTCTCTCTCTTCCTCTTCCGCTCTCCTGGGTTACATGTTTGACCATTGGGCATGTTATACATGCACACACACACGCATGCACACATGCACGCACATGCACACAGCTTCACCTTGAGTTAAACAGGCAACCAGAGACACATTGTCCCATAAGCATATCCACTGACCATTTGCCTGGGCCACAGTTAGCTGCTCCTTCCCTGCCTGATGCCTATTCAGCCTTTAGGACACAGTCTGGATGTCACCTCTTTCAGGAAGTCCTTCCTGTCATCCCTCTCCCATCTCGATTGTTTGCGCCTCCTCTGTGTTTCCCCAGTGCCCTGGCTTATCGCTATTATTGCACTTCTTGCACTCTACGTAATTCCTGTTTTGCTCACCCATTTCCCCATTAAACAAACTGCTAGCACACTACTAGCACAGAGTGGGGACTAAATAGATATTTTTATAATGAAAAAAAGAAAGCAAGAAAGAGCCAGAGGGAGGGAGGAAGGGAAAGAGAAAGGAAGGAAAAAGGAAGAATGGAAGAGGGAAGGAAGGAGGGAGAGTGAAGTATATTTGAAACATGTATCCTATGTGTGTATATATATATATATACACATGCACATATATATATATATACATGCACATATATATATAGTTATATAGCTCTTTGGAAACTACAGAAAACAAGAATTTCTCTGCTTATGTTTTTTAAATTTTTTTTATTTCAGCATATTATGGGGGTACAAATGTTTAGGTTATGTATATTGCCTTTGTGCCACTGGAGTCAGAGCTTCCGTGAATGTGAAGAGACAGGAACACTCATACACTGCTGGTGGGACTGCAAACTAGTACAACCTCTGTGGAAAACAATATGGAGATGCCTCAAAGAGCTACAGGTAGAACTACCATTTGATCCAGTAATCCCATTACTGGGCATCTACCCAAAAGAACAAAAGACATTCTATAAAAAAGACATCTGCACTAGAATGTTTATAGCAGCACAAGTCTCTGCTTAGTTTTTTTTTTTTTTTTGAGACAGAGTCTCACTCTTTTGCCCGGGCTAGAGTGGGTGCCGTGGCGTCAGCCTAGCTCACAGCAACCTCAAACTCCTGGGCTCAAGCGATCCTCCTGCCTCAGCCTCCCGTCTGCTTAGTTTTTAACATAGAAATCACACTTTACAAAAAATTTATTCCCCTATTTTTGCTTTATCATTTTCTAATTTTTATAATCACTTTTTTTGTTGTTGAGACAGGATCTCACTCTATTGCCAGGGTAGAGTACAATGGCATCATCATAGCTCACTGCAACTTCAAATTCCTGGGCTCAAGCCATCCTCCTGCCTCAGCCTCCCAAACAGCTGGGACTACAGGTGCAAGCCACCACGTTAGGCTAATTTTTCTATGTTTTGTAGAGATGGGCTCTCACTCTTGCTCAGGCTGGTCTCGAACTCCTGACCTCAAGCCATCCTCCTGCCTCCGCCTCCCAAAGTGTTAGGATTACAGGTATGAGCCACCATGCCTGGCCTATAATCACTATTTTAAATGTCTGTATACTAGTCCATCAAGCGGAGATAGCCAAAATATAGTTAACCATTTTGTTACATTTTTAACCTATTTCCATTTTAAAATATTTTATATTCTGTGACAAATTATACTTCAATTTTAAAATAATATTTTAAACATCATTAGGTATATAGCTTTTCCCAAAATTATTGTCCCATTATGACATAATCACAGAAGTAAATTACTGGACCAAAAGATGTGAACATGTTTAAGTCTCTTGATATATAGTCCCATATTGCAGTACGTTACACTACCACCTAGTAGTACATTCGTGTGTATGTATAAAAGGGCCTGTCTTAACTATCCTCATCAGCTTTGGGTATTATCATAAAATACATTTTTGTGCTGTTATTTTAACGAACCAAAAAAATGGTACCTCACTGCTGTAGTTTGCATTCTTCAATCATTAATGACTTGTACATTTTTTTTTTTTTGAGACAGAGTCTCTCTCTTTTGCCCGGGCTAGAGTGCCGTGGCGTCAGCCTAGCTCACAGCAACCTCAAACTCCTGGGCTCAAGCGATCCTCCTGCCTCAGCCTCCCGAGTAGCTGGGACTACAGGCCTGCGCCACCATGCCCGGCTAAGTTTTTCTATATATATTTTACATTTTCCAGCTAATTTCTTTCTATTTTTAGTAGAGACGGAGTCTCGCTCTTGCTCAGGCTGGTCTCGAACTCTTGAGCTCAAGCTATCCTCCCGCCTCGGCCTCCCAGAGTGCTAGGATTACAGGCGTGAGCCACCATGCCCGGCCGACTTGTACATTTTTAAAGGCCTATTTCCTAAAGGCTTATTTCCTAACTTAATTCCTCAATCATGATATTTCCAAGTATTCTTTGTCACTTAATTTATTAGAGACATAATTTTTTGAATGAATTTGTGTGAGCTCTTTGTACCAACATTTTATGTATGCTATGACTATTTCCTTTAGTGTGCAAATTATTCTCTTGTTTTGTTCATCCTAATTTTTAGGTGTACAGAAATTTTAGTTTTTGTATAGCCAGTTCTGTTGATATTTTTCTTTGCTTCTAAGTATTAAACGGTCCTTATCCATGCTAGGATTTGGTAAGTATTCTACTTCCTTCTATTTTTTTCCTATTGCTTGACATATTTAAAATTTCACTCTTTAATCCAACTCTAACTTTTTTGTTTTAATGTAAGCTATGATCTAAAGTACTCAAATGATTTCTCCCCATTTAAAAACTAACTGTTTAAATACCTTTAGTTAAATTAATCTTTTCCTTCACTATCGATTGAATGTATCATTTATCAAATATCAAGTTCTAATATGATCTTAAAGGTAAAATAAGAATTGAGAATGAAACTGGCAGACAGAAGGAAGGGGACAGAAATAACAACAGCAGCAGAGACAGGTGCTACCAGAGTCCGGTGTTGCCCCTTAGGTGTCAAGAGTACTTTCAAGGGCTGCTCTTATCACCTATGTGTACCTTTGTCGCCCTCTACTGAACTTGGAGAGAACTTTGAGCTCTGTACTTGTTTTCTCCAGAAATGAGGAGAGAGGAATCTATGAGGCTGCGTTGTTTTCCACAGGGAGACAGGAGGAGAAAACCCAGAATATGCAAACTGGTGAAGGCAACAAAGCCAGGCCCCAAAGACAAAGGGTGTTGATGTCTTTCCCCAAACCCTGGAAGGAGGGCAAAGTCAGGTCTCTAGAGTTCTCAGCTTTCTCCCCTTTTATTAAAAATGAAGATCCTATTCTCCTACCCTAAGGGAATACATCTGTCCCCAGTACTTCAGTGCTATGGACAGATTTCTTCACTAACGGGTACAGTCAGTCTGGCTCCATGACAGTGGCATGGGGTAGAGGTGGTATGGGAGTGGGGATGAGCACACAGCCCTGGGGAGTTTCTGAGGCTAGGGACAGATTCTGAGTGAAGAAGCTTGCATTCTGACTTAATTCTGGATGGACAATAAGCAGTTGGTAACAATTGAAGATCAGTGCAGAGGTGCCTAATTTTCAAAAACATTTGTTTAAAAATTATTTGTGTCTTTGGTTTAGATATAGCAATTGTTAACATTTTGATTGTTACATTCTATTTTTATAGGGGAAAGCATTATTAAATGGAACTGGGGATTGTAATCTAAGACTCAGTCGTGCCTAGGAAGAAAACTTTTACATGGATCATGAAGCTAAATCCCAGTGCCACTTATAATTGTTTGCCTTTGTAGCATGCTATTTATTTGTAAAGTCCTTACTTCACTTAATATCTCATTTAATTCTCACAACCATTTTGAGAGACAGTATGGGGTAGAATAAGGCACACAGGGTCTATGATCTTAGTGCAGAGGTGCAAATAATTTTTTCTTACCTGCAACACGTTTCCATCTTATGTTTGTTGGAAGATTAGATGGTGTAATCCATGTAGAGTGCTTAGAATGATGACTGGCACATGTCAATGCTCAATAAATGTTAGCTATGACTGTACCCATTTTAAAGATAAGGAAAGGGGGCCTCAGAAAGGTTAAGGGACTTGTCCAAGATCACAGAGCTAAACATAGAGAGGCTAGAAGTCAAACTCTGGTCTTCCAGAGCCCAATAACAGACTCTTAGACACAGCCCAGGAGGAGAAAAGCATCATGGTCTCACATCCTGCCTTTTAATATTCCACCCCATAGGGTGGGGGATGTAAGAAAAAGTAGCATGAAAAGACCCCCAGATTATGAAGCAAATGACCTGGCTTCTAGTCTAGGCTTTACCTAACTCTCTGGGTGACTACCTGCCTCCCCCCACCTCACTGGCTTCATGCTCTTTGCCCATAAATGTGGGATAGTAATTCTCACCTAACCTGTTTCACAATATTATTGTGAGAACTAATTAATAGAAAGTATGAAGAAGTACTTTGTAAACTTATAAAGTGCTCCACACGTAAGTGAAGGGAAAGGGAGCAAACAAGTATTTATGGACCGCCTGCTTTGGACCATGGCTGAATACCCCTCAGCCCTTTGATCTCATTTCACCCAGCGACTCCAGGAGAGGGGACTCAATCCCACAAGAGAAATCTGAAGACCAGAGGTTCAGTAATTTCCGCACAAAGATAACAAGTAAAAGAGAGCAGAGGTGGGATTTGAAATCCAAATCACTGCACTGGCTTTTCTGACAAATCTCACACAGGCATGGACTCATTCACTTTTAAAATTATACAAAGGTATAAAATTATACCATGATATTCTTAGGATCCTAAAGGGCTAGTATGATCTCTCATTTTCATGTTAAAATATATGACAAATTTCACTTTGACCTACTGGAATTTTAGAGGCAACAGCAGAATTTTGTGAAATGCAAGGACAGGGTTCCCTTCGGGACTGACAGGAGGCAGGGCTGTATGGGGGAGAGGTCACGAAGCCCAGTGCCAACTCCTCCAGTAGGAGAGGGCATTAAGGCAACAAATCCTTGAATGTCAGAGCCAAGGGACCCTGGAAATCATCTCGCCCTTGCCCTGCTTTTACAAGTGGGGGTGCTGAGGAGAAGGAGAAGGAATGTATTTATTAGATCTGCATAGAAGCCATCTCCCACACTAGGAGATTTTACACATTATTTATTTTCATCTTTATAACAAGCCCAAGGAAAATGACCTCAACTTTAGAGACAAGGAAACTGAGAGATTAAGGAAATGATCCCTGAGAGAATGTTCTTCTGACTTCCAAACCAGTGAGCCTTGCATCACATTACACGACCTCTAAAAGCATTACATGGAGCTTCTCAGACTCAGCTTCCTAATCTGCTAAATGGGATCATGTAAGATTAAGAACATGAGAACATTTTGACATTGGTAAGTGTTCTTTGGAGTATAATTTGCATAAGGCACTTGGAAACCTTATTTCACATAATATTCCAATGGATCTGCTTTTGACTCTAATGTAGCAAAGAACCTGGGACTCGAAGAGGCCAAGATACTGGCTTAAGAGTATGCAACCACTGAGTTGAATTGTATGAAACTGCCTTTTTTTTTTTTCCTAAACAGAGTCTCGCTCAGTAGCCCTGGGTGGAGTGCAGTGGCATCATCACACCTCACAGCAATCTCAAACTCCTGGGCTCAAGCAATCCTCCTGCCTCAGCCTCTCAAGTAGCTGGGACTACAGGCACGTGCTACCACACCCAGCTAATTTTTCTATTTTTAGTAGAGACAGGATCTCGCTGTTGCTCAGGCTGGTCTCAAACTCTTGACCTCAAGCAATCCCCCCACGTCAGCCTCCCAGAGTGCTGTGATTACAGGCATGAGCCACCACACCTGGCCTGAAACTGCCATTTTTAAGGGTCAAAATGTAGAATATTGGCAATTTCACAACCTGATGATAAATGGCAGAATCAGCAATCAATTCAGCTTTATCTGGCTCTCAGGAGCATTGTCTGAAAATTTTCATTCTTCCCTGCAAGAGAACTGTTAGCATCTCCATGCCCAACACACACAACATACACACGCCCACACACATACACACACACACACACACATGCACACACATCTGTACCCTCAAGGAACAGATTAAGCAGAGCATCCCTCCACTGCATTTTTAGGACAAGTCCTTCTCCACGTAAGGAATTCCTGGTTGAAAGCTTCTACTCTCCAAAAGCCATTACCTCCTGGCTTCAGCCAAGTGTTATAGGCCACTGGTCCTCTGGCTTGACAAGGAGTATGCAGAAAGTTTGTCCCCGCAGCCACCTAAAAAAGACAAGTCCTGTGTCTCTCCTTAAGACTCCAGACTGCTGATTAAGCTGCAGAGCTCCCTTCCTACTGCTTGGCTCTGGAACTATGCTGACACCATCATGTTCCTCTGGACATACTCTGCTGGCATGAAGGGACCCCTGCACCCTAATAACTAGGCAAAGCCGGCCTTAATCCTAATGGAATCCCTGGGAGTGAGACGTTCCCACCTTATGAGGCTTGATCCAAACCAGGACCTCCCAGACCAGAGACACACATCCTCTGCTACATGAGGGGCTGGCCGGACCTCCGAAATCCCTCCCATGCTGACCTTCTGCGGCTACGGCTGAAAACCACCAGGATGCCTCAGCGCAGCACTCACTGGGGTACCTGGGATTGGGCTTGGCAAAGATCAGGTAAAGCCAGTTGCTTCTGTCTGAAAATGTCTTTAAAAATACAATTTTTCTTAAGTTCCCACCTACACCAGGTTTTTCTAACTTTATCTCATTGGAACCTCTCAATTACCCTGTCAGATATCCCCAGGCCTACAGATATCCCAGATCTACAGACAACAACCATGTCGCACTCATCTTTGAATCTTGAGAACCAACCCAGTGTCTGGCCCGTAGAATCTGCTCAATCAATGTTTGCTGAGTATAATCAAGTGGTAGAACTGGACTCTAAAGTCTAGTCTGAGGTCAGAGCTCAGCTTGTCTTTCCTCAAGCTGCCTTTGAACATACTTCTTCCTTCGTCCCACTTGGGTGAGCTGAGAAGCAATTTATCTTCTTCTGCTCCTTCATCCAACGGGACTTCATCTGTGGACAAACCTGCCACCTCACTGACCCCAACCTTTTTCCTCAGTAGGCATCCTGCCGCAGAGTGAATGGGCACAATTCAGGATGGTCCCAGGCTTTTTAACCAAAAGGAACAACTCTCTCTGTGGGTCAATTGAGGAAGAAGCCCAAGGCCTATCTGCCTCCACCAGTGCTGCCCTGCCCAAAGTTCTGCCTATATCTGTCCCCGCACTACTATGGACAGGAGAGCCTGAACACATCCCGGCCAGGGGCTATGGACAGCACCCCCACCCAGCCTGGAATTAAATAAAATTGCTCTTACCCTCCAGTATGGAATCAGAGCCACAGACTGCAGTCAGAATGGAAGTGAGGAGGAGATGGCCCAGCCTCAACAGCCTGGTACTCATGGGGATAGGCAGTCCCCACCTCACAATTGTCCTGTTTCATTGGCCAGCCCAGCAAGGGCTAGGGGCCAGTGGGTGGGCAAATTGCCCCTGGCAGCTGCCTCCAGCCTCCACCCCAGGGAACCCGGTGCAACACAGCCTGGGCTTGAGAAGCCAAGTGGAGCTTCAGTGAAAACACTTGTGTTTCCAGGCCTTGGCCCTTATTTTGCCTCCTCCAAGAGCAGCAGAAAACGGGGCAAGAGTTGAAACCACAGCAGAAAAACAAGATATTTCTGCATCTGAGAGAGAAACTTCCTTGTGCCAATGAATTGCTCAGTGGTCCAAGAGACCTCTCTCTTCCACAGATTTGTCCTAATAAGTCAGGAACACCAATTATCACATCACACTTCTGCTCATTGTGCATGATTGAGTGTGAGGTTGTGTGGTTCAGACATTGAGTACGTCAGAAGGGAGAACCGTCAGAGGGGCTGCAATAGGGTCAGAAATAGAACACATCCTCCACTCGCTGGCCTGGACCCTGCGGTTAGGAAATACCTTGTATATTAATTCTGAGAACTGAAGTGCAGGGAAGTTCCTGGGGGGGTGTGGGGCTTGGCAAGTTAAAGAGGCCCTAAATTCCTAAAGCTCATGGTTCCCATGTATAATAATTCAAATCTAATAACAGAAAACTTATATAAAATATGATATTGGAATACCAACTTTCAAGATTTTCTCGTTCCAAAATTCAGGATAAGGTTTTGGCAGCTAACTTTGTGCTTGTGTGTGTGTGCATGTGTGTGAGCCCCCACCTTGCCAGTGCCTCAAGCATGTGCCTAATTTGCCTATTGGGGAACTCAGCTCTGGGCTGGGAGCAGCCTGGAGGACTGGAAGCTGCCACCCATGCAGGTGTTCCTAAAAGGCTTGGGCCTTTCAACATCCTGGACTCTTTCATGACAAACTCATGTTTTGTTTTCGAAGGGTAGAATCAGAGCCGGTTCTTACAAGCCACAAATTCTAATGAATTAAATTACAACCCCAGCAAGGACTGAGGACCAGCAACAACTTCAAGAAAACATTCTGAAAACAGAATGTTGTCAGGCAGGGGCTGAGCAAGTGTGTGCCTGCCCCCAAATATCACCTCTGCTGGCCACACAGAACCTAAAAGTCCAGTAGTAAAGTCAAGTCCACTAGTAAAGTCAAGTAAAAGTCTGATATAAGGCCTTGGCCTCCTGCAAATGTGCAAATATTTCTACAGAAGTCACATTGGGCCATTGAGATTGGAAATGAGGCCCTTTCTAAGGGCCCCCAGATTAGATAAGTGGCTTTGAAAATGAGGTTCTGTGTAGTTAGCAGGCAGATTGGACCAAGCAGAAAACACAGAGAAACTGCAGCAACTCTCAATTACATCACTGTTTTGTTTTTATTGTAGCATTTTCTCATTTATTTTTGGTTTGTGTTGCTATCGTTGCTCCTTATTAAGATGTAAATTTCATGAGAGAAGAGGCTTTGCCTACTCAACATTGCATCCCTTAGTTCCTAGAATAGAACCTGGTACGAAGTAGGCAGTAATAAATGCTGAATCAATGAATAAATTAATGATCATATTCGATCTTCCTTTGGAGATAGCTATGATTGTCTCTCATTTTACAAATAAAGAGTCCAGAGTTTAATGAGGGTAAGAGACTCATTAAAAGCACTGATCCAAGATTTGAACACAGATCTATCTGACTACAAAATTCGTATACTGTCTAATACCTTATGTTTTCCCCCTCCTGGTGGACTGTGAGGCCCCAAGATTCATGTATGTGCTTCAGGGTAGCTTTGGGGTTGTCATAAAAAGTGTTTTCTTCTAACCTTATGGGAATGCAGCTAGTTATAGCAGGCTTTACTATTGCACAAGGTGGAATGACTTTAGCCCCAAAATAACACCACGACTATGCTGGGTCTGGCTGTCGGCCAGTGAGATCGTAAAAGCCTGTCATTTTGTGAGGCCTCAGGGAAATCTGCCATCCACCACAAAGGCCATGATGTGGAAAGAAGCAATTCTGTGCCACACTGGTTTAGAGACTGTAACTAAAAGACATTCAATCAGACGTGCCTTGAGGCTAGTCCTTTCCTCCCAGGACAGAAGTGTTACAATCTAGAATGAAATAACCAAATAAATGTGGTCGTTTTCTCCAGCAAGCCATGGCTACGGAGCAAGTCCCTGTTAGCATGTGAACTGGGATATTGAAACAACAAGCCAAATGACTGCATCCTCCTTGAGTATTGTTAAGTATTGCCATACATTTTTGCTTAATTATGATTTTTAAAAATAATCTTAACTGAGATAACTAAGCACAATCACTGTATCTTGAAAAATAATACAGAAGATTGGAGCAAGAGAGCAGAGTGAGCACATTTGTGGCATTCCACTCCATCCGCAAATCCCTAGAAATAGCAAGAAAGGAAAACATTCCTGTACCTCTTCCAAAGGCTTTGCTACATTTGCACTTCACCCAAGGCAACCTCAGACAATAATTTAAGTTTCTGTTTTGGCACTGCATGTTTTATACTAACTGCAACCACTTCCACTAGCCAGAAGGCCATCATGATTCAAGTCCAGTCAGTTCAGCTAAGTAACCCTTAAGTCACACTTTTGGAAGCCTGTGTCCTTGGACCGCTTCTGATACTAAAATATTGTACTAGCCAAGGAATTTGTTACAATAATTTTAGAGAGGCTGAAGAAGCAAGGGGAGGAAGACGGTGTTACCCAGAGATCAGGAAGTGGCTACTGCACCTGGGCTGCAACCTGTGAGCCTGCACTTGCTGCATGTCCTGCAGGCATCTCCACCATTGCTGCTGAACAGGAGCCACTGCCATTGCCACTGCCACTGCCAGGGGCACTCCCTTAAGCAGACTAGCTCCTCCTTTCCTCCACAGTTCAGTCTTGCATAGCTGTCTCCCATGTGCAGAATCTCACTGGAACCCCTCTGGCAAAGAATTATAAGATATGTCATTTTACGCATCCAGCTCCAACAATGCAAAATGGATTATAGAAAGGTGAATGTAGAGCTACATACTGACAGACATGATCTGGCACAGGCCACAACATCAAAACATGGAAGAAGTGACACCCAAAGAAAGAAAGCTAGTAGAAAAAAAAAAAAAAGCTTAATAGTAAGTGTTAATTCACAGTTGCAAAGAGATGGAAACAACCCAAGTGTCCATCAATACATGAGTGGATTAGCCAAATGTCATTTATGTATACCATGGAGTACTATTCAGCCATAAAAAATGATTACCTACTGTATTATCCTGGATGGAGCTGGAGCCCATTCTTCTAAGTGAAGTATCACAAGAACGGAAAAAAAACACTGCATGTACTCACCATTAAATCGGTAGTAATTGAGCAATACTAATGTGCACATACAGGAAGTAACATTCATAGGGTGTAAGGCAGGTGGGAGGGAGGAGGAGGGGAAGGGTAAATCCATACCTAATAGACATGGTCTGTGCTGTTTGGGGAACAGGCATGCTTGTCGGGCGGTGCAAAAGCAATATGTGTAACCAAAGCGTTTGTACCCCCATAATACTCTGAAATTTAAAAAAACAGTAAGTGTAACTGTTAAATTTAGAGAGACATGATAGGAATGAACATGCATGAAAATAATTAATGTCTACTCCACCCACAGTAGGAGATGAAAATAAATTTCTGTTTTTCTTACCAAGTTTGTGGTGATTTGTTATGGCAATCCTAGGAAATCACTGCAGGCAACTAGGGCTAGGTGAAGAGTTCTTATGACGACAAAAACATGGTCCATTAAAGAAAAAATTGGTAAATAAGACTTCATCAAAATTATTTTAATAAAACTTTTGCTCTGTGAAAGATCCCATTAAGAGGATGAAAAGGCAATCTATAGATTGGAAGGAAATATTTGCAAACTATGTTTGTGACAAATGATTTGTATTTAGATTGTATAAAGAACTCTCAAAACAAACAGCAAAAAAAATAAAATAAAATAAAATAATCCAATTAGAAAATGGGCAAAAAACATGAACAAATATTTCACCAAGTAGAATATACAAATGGCAAATAAGCACATGCAAAGATGTTCAATAATATTAATCATTAGAGAAATGCAATTAAAACAACAATGAGATATCATTACATACCTACTAGAATGGCTAAAATAAAAAATAGTGAGAAATACTATAATGGTGTATGCATGTCATTACACAATTGTCAAAACCCATCGAATGTACGATACTAATAATGTAACCCTAAAGTAAACTATGGCTGTTAGGGTGATTGAAATTTTAAAAAAGTGAAGAAAATAGAGAACACAAAATTTTTTAAATTAAAAATAATGAGAAAAGTAAACTTGGGCAAGAATGTATAAAAATTTATCACTCCCACTTTCCTAATGGGAATGGAAAATAACACAGAAACTCTGAAAAAAATGCTTTGGCAAATAGCAGTAACTCTGCTAAGCATTTATCCAAGAGAAATAAAAACTATGTCCACACAAAAAGCTATACATAAAAACTTGAACATCTCTGTGCATACATATCTTTGCTCATTTGTGAGAGTAAATAGGATAGATTTCTAGAAATAGAATTGCAGAATCATGGAGTATGCATGTCTTTAATTTTGATAGTTATTGTAAATTGAATCCCAAAAATCCAGTATTGATTTGTACTCCTCCCAACATGGTGTGAGAGTACCTATTTCCCTATAGTCTCACCAATACTTGATACGGTAAAACTTTTAAATATTTGGTATTCTAATAGATTAAAAAACAGTGTCCCATTTTAATTTGTATTTCTTCTATTATATGTGAGAATGAGCTTCTTTTCATATATTTATTGGTTATTTGTATTTATTTTCCCATGCACTGTATGTTTCTTTCCCTGTCCATTTTTCTTATTGAGTTATCCTTATTAATTTCTTAAATTTTTATTAATATGTAATATAAATAATATATGGTAATTTGATATATTCGTATAATGTATAAAGATCAA